TTACAACTGTAACGATGTTTAGACATTGAATGTGTCTGTGTTTGTGTTTGTGTTTGTGTATTTATGTGTGTGTGTGTGTGTGTGTGTTTATGGATGTGTGTGTGTGGGTGTGTGTGTGTATGTCTGTCATGCGTTAACATTAACATTTAATCAGTTAAAATTTAGACTGATGAAAAGTAAGGACTTATAATAGATCTGTTTGAAAGGAATAATTTAAAGTAGTAAATTGAGTAGCAAATATATGAAATGGATTAGATTGAAGAAAATAAGGAAAAAAAGTTCAAAAATAATTCTTCTAAGCTAAAATATGAAATACATTGCTGAAGTATTCGTCGAATGGGTGACGAATGATTTCCTATTTGGATATCTCATTTAAATTATTAAATAGAATCGGATATGACAAGAAATTATTGATGAAATATTCTAACTACGAATGGAACCTGTTTTTATTGCATATTCAATTGGACTTTATAGCTTATTCAATTAAAACTTGAAACTAATTTCTAGAACCTTAATTTAATTTAAAATATATACAAAAAAAAAAAAAAAAACAACCGATGAGTAGATAATAATAGTTACCATCATTCGCATGATTAAATTCAAATACATAAAATACAAAAAGCTTGAAAATATTTCATCAATAGATTGTTAGATTAGCACATATGAAAATTATTATCAAATTCATAAAATTAAGAACAAACACACGATGATACATAACAACTTTTTTCATTAAATTAATTGAAATAATTGATAATAATGAAAACAACAGAATATAAAAACAGTTAAAACTATTTGACTAAAAAGAAAAGACAAACCAATGATTATAAACGAAGAAAGTTAATAGCTATAATTACAAGAAAAAAAAAAAAGAAAAAGCAAATTTCGAGCATATCCATCATCATATCATCATCATCATCTTTCGATTCATCCATCATAAATGTCACAAGCTGAAAATAAAACAATAATATTTTTTTTCAATCAAAATTATTTATTGTTTTATTTCAACGAATCCATTTTTTCATGCCATAAATTTTCACTGAATATGCAATCAAAAAAAAAAAGATGCGGAAAAAAAGATATATTTGTTGGATAACAACGAAATATCGTAGAAATATTGAAATTCGTAAGCCTTTTTTTTTTCTTTATGGAGTAAAGATAAAAAATTGTCGTCCTTTTTTGAGTATTATAAACTATGGATTTAATTTCTAATATAACCCTTCAAATCATTTGCATATCATACAATCTATATGAGCTTGTCATCAGTATAAGTTTTGTGTTTGTAAAAAGCATTTCAAAAATTTCGATAGTAGTTTTTTTTTTTTGTCACATTGGAATGCTTTCTTTTTTTTCACCAATATCTTTCTTCTCGGTTTTCGCTTCGTTGGTTCAGCTTGTTTGTCTATTTTTTTTTTTGGAACTGAAAAGTCCAATAACCTTAATAAGCATAATAAATTCATGGTGATAACAATTGCACTGATAAATGGAGAACCAGAATATTTACATAAGAAAAATAGAAACTATTTAAATATTATTTAAAAGGAGGGAAAATATACATACATAACTACAATGCTACAGTCATTTATCTTGAAGAAAAATAAATACAAAAAGTGTTGCTAAAAACAAATAAATAATGCAATATATTTAACTGAAATGACTGATACCAAAAATTAGCAATGACTGATGGATGTTTCAGAAATATATTTTAATTTCAAATCCATATTTGATGTATAAGAAGTGAAATAAAGCAAAAGATTTTGTTTCTTCTCTCGTATTCCACCATAAAGAAGACCCACAAGTCCGGAAACAAAATAAAGGGTGACAAAAGAGATTTTTTTTTTTACTCGAACAAACAGATATTCTCATGCTATAATTTTTCAATAAAGTATGAAAGTGAATACAAAATATGGAATGTTAGACCAGAAGAATAAGATAAAATACAAAGAAAAAAAAACAAAAAAAAAAATCCCGAAACTAATATCATTAACCTTTATCGGATTAAAAAACAAACGATTTATGAATAAAAAATTACAACAATCAAAACTGCAATATGAACAAAAATCAACTGAAAATACTATTCATGAGATATTTTAAAGAATAAAATTTTTGCAAAAAAGAAAAAACAACGATAAAATTAACAAAAACAAAAAGCCAGGATTTTAAGAGTACTTGTCTCGTTAATGTTAAAGTATGAAAATTCATGCTTCATGAAAATAACGACTATTTTGATCAATACGGCTTAAAAGGCGATACTTTTATTTTCTTCCTTATTTACAATATTTTCCAATTTGTACTTCTAAAGTCTTAAGGAAATGTAGAAGTAATTGCAAAAGAAAAAGAAAATATGAAATGTTAATCTGTTAATCTGTACTGACCAGAAACAGCAATTATTTTTTTATACAACGTGAATATGTTAGATCAAAAACAGGATCTATATGAGTTGTCGTGTGAAATTTCAAATTTATTGATTGGAACTTTTTCCGCATACAATTTTTGGCGTCGTCGAATGTGCTCACCGTTCGCGCATTTCTTTTACAGGTATGTTCAGTGATTTTGTTTGCTCTTATCTAATTTTTCTCCCTTCTAAAATCATGATATTAGCCCGCCCTTCCTGCTGCACTCAATTTTATAAAATGTGCGATGAAATGTCTCAACCACTTTTCCGTTTTTCAACGAGAAAAGGAACCAGCATACCATACCAGTTGATAAACCTAAGCCAAATTTTGGAAATTTAAACATAAAAAAACCAAGAATAAATGCAGCAGTACAATTAAATATCAAAATTAGACTAATTTTAATCTAATCTATTGGGTTCAATCATCGTTAACCAAAACAGAAAGTAAAGTGAAATAAACATTTAAATGTCGTCACCATAAGTACCATTTAGAATATTACATCATGTTCATTACTCAATATCGTAGAGTAACTCAAATGATACCCATGTAAAATGAAATCTTCGATACAAAGCATTAAAATAAAAATGCAGAAATTTTTGCATTTATTTCTGTAAATCATGTGTATCTATAAATTATCTGTAAAATATATGTAAAATTGTACCTGTAAATTATGTGAAATGAAAGTAGCAAATGATAGAACATGACCGTAATATCAAAAGTACTGAATTATCCTATGAATTTCACAAAATTTTAATTCAAACAATTCAATCCTTGTTCCAGTCTTGAAAACTAATTTTTATGGTATTAAATTATATTGTTTTACAACAATAACATCAGAAGTACCAATGAATTATCCTATGGATTTCACAAAATCTAAATTCAAACAATTCAATTCCAATTCCAGTTCCTGTAAACTGATCCGTAAGAGAATCCTCTTAACCGAAATATGTCATCAAACAGCGCGTATAATCTGCAAAACTGGGACAAGGAATTAAGCCTGTTCCCACCAATTTGACGAATGAAAACAAACGTCCTTCCTATCAGACACCGTAGAACCGAAGTTTGATGTTAGTGCTCGTCAAAATTCGTCATTCGGTACCCTCTCTAACAACGATTCGCAGTGTTTCCTTTTTTATACTTCATGATCTTCTTTTTTCGGTTTTATTTAGGGGTGATACCAATTTCAGTTTCCATCCTAGCAATGGTACCAATCCTGTTTGCACCTCGGTATAGGCACCAATTCTTGCTTACAAAGATACGAATCTAATTGCCACTTTTTTTTTTTTTAATTTACTCTTACTAGCGAAGATTATATCCTTTCCCAAGTAAAGAAAATTTTAAGATGAAAAAAAATTAGAAATTGTATGAAAATGATAAAGATTGAGAGTGGTGAAGTATAGAGTATGAAGTACGGATGCATAAATGAAATGTAAAGATAATGCAGTGATAATAACTGTACAGATAATAACTACACATAAAATGTAGAGTTATTACAGCTTGCGAAATTTACAGAGGGTTTTACATTATGTGATTGTACTAGTGCTTGAGAATTAATGGAAAATGTGAATTATTGGAGAGACAATAAAGGCAATGAGAATGAGGACTAAAAGTAGATGGATTGCAGAAATGTTGAAATATTAATAAGTATCAGGTAGTGAACTAAGGTGTATTTACTTTAGAGTAGAAAGCGGTATAAATTCTTTTAGATGTTGCTTGTATGAATTAAATGGAACTTAATTTATAAATGAAATTTGGAAGATAAGAAATAAAATTCTAATCACTATAGTTTAGTCGAGCACCAAGTCAGAAAATTGCAAATAAAGTCTAATGAAGACGTAATATTAGGAATGGTACAAATAACACCTAAAATAGGAAGATTTACCTCCAAATCTATTTCGTGAGTATTTCTTGACTTCTTACATGAATCCAGTATTGTACTTAGTTATGAAGAAGGAACTTGATTAAAAATATTGTACTAAGATATAATTTAGTATTTTTATCTGTTGATTTAGATGAAAATTTTGGCTGGTTGAAATATTTTAATGGGAAAGTAAAGTAAGGTAGATAAAGGTTATGTTTCGACGGGTCATGGAGACTACTCGTGTTGCTGTTGATTCATATTTTATGATGAATGTTAAAATTAATGGATAGCTTGAGTTAGTTATTTTTCTGTATCGCATTAATTTTTATGGTGCATTGCAATGCACATTTTAAATATCTATTCGGAAAGGAAAAAAATGGAGCTTGGGAAGCGCGAAAAAAAAAGAAGATATCCATGATATTAATGATGCAGTCATTTTTTATTTTATCCTACTTTGCCAGAGTTGAACGGTTATACTGTAGAAATTTTGTTAGTAATGGTGATAATTGTATTTTTCAAATTAATCTTAGCTAGCTTTCATCCTTTTACAGAATCATTGTTGTCTCATGTCGTAACACTTTCATGGCATTTTATATAATGAGATGAAGTTATCATTTAATACATCACGGACTATATATATATATATATATTTGACTTTTGCTGTAAACAGATTTTCTGCAAAAATGTCACGTAAGAAGTTATGATAATCCAACCGTTATCCCTAATCAAATTATCTGGCATGTTTATTGCAGGTATAATGAATCATTTAGCAGAATACTACAGTGATGATGAATCACCATTTCGAAGAAATCCCGAGGAAGAACTAAGCCTGAATAACAGCGACAAAGGTGATAGCATTGGGAGACTTCGAATTTTGCTTTTCGCGTACCTTCAATTACTAAGTTTAAAGCGGTATTTGTGAAGTCACCAAATTTATTGTTCAACATGTTGTTTTTTCCTCTTTCATTTTATTCCCAATTTAAAAGTTTTTAATGAAAAATATATTACCTTTAACTTTAGTACATTTACGAGTTTAGGGTATCCATGTGTTACACTTTGTTTTGCTATTACTCGTATATGGCAAGAAAGATTTTCTGAGCGGAACTTGTAAATATTTGCACTAAATAAAACAAGACTTCTGAAGTATTAAAAGGCAAGAAAACTTTGGATATATTATTTATGTCTAATAGAAAAGGCTCCCTATTTTCTTAAGTTTTATCATGATTTTTGTAATATTGTTATGAAGGTTAGGGAAATATTTCTTGAATGTAGATGAAAGAAATAATGTAGATGAAAAAAGAGGATGTGGTAATGTAACGGTGATTTGTCGAGTTTGGAAGCACTATGAAACAAGTTCTCCAAGGGGAAAAAAAAACTAGTAATGCTTAGCCGAGTAATTATTCCTTTGTTTTAATCTTTCAGGCCCCTTTTTTTTCAAATTAAATAATTTTAAAATTTTAGGACAAACAGCGAATGAAATAAGTAAGGAGATTCAGCAGAGAGAAGGACGGCGAGATTCGGAATACTGGACAGGTAAGAGTTACAAGACAAAAGTGGAGGGATGAGCAGTTTTTATAAAACTTTTTCTTGCATAAAACATGAGTATCTTGTATAAAGCATGAGTATTAGAACGGCTGCAACGATTAAATGGAGCTAAAGTCAGTAAATACACGTATGTTTTGTTTTGATGAGCAAATTCCATTATGGATATATTCCTACACGATTATAAAATGTTGATCCTAAAATATAATGCTTGGAAAAAATTAGCTATATGTGATTTTACCATCGATTTGCATACTGGTTTTAATGTTCTCCGTAATTCGATTAGTAATTGCTCTTCGTTTAGATGAATCGGCGAATGGAAGTTCGTCATCGAACGCCGACTCGAGTGTCGAATCCGGAAGTAGGAAGAGCGGAAGCGTTAGTTCATTACATCCACCTCCATCTAAGAAAGCACTACTGATATCACCTCCAGAACATTTAGTGCAAAGCGATTTCGGTGCATCAATATCTCCATCGCGGAATCAAAATCGATTATTCGCTTCGAAAAGTGCACTTTACATTACACAAAGTCAGACTTCCTTGGTTTCGTACGGTGAACAGGAAGATGAAGAGGATCAGTTCGTCAAAGGTCTGTGCATTGGCAAAATCTCCGTTAAAAAATATTGGTTGAGAAATGATACGTAATGTTAGTTAATGCTCATAGCTGACATACGCTTGTACGTCCGTTTATACGTAATTCAGTTATTAAACTTAATGTTACCTCATTTATTAAAAAACCACGCAGTTCATCCTCTTGTTTGAACGATAAATTTTAACCAAGTAGTTGAACGGCAAGCATAACTTCCACTTTCTTATTTTTTCGATTTTTCTTATAAAGGCATGTCTTTAAAAATCAGGAATTGTTAGTATGCAGTTTAAATCCGATCTTTCGATCGAAGCTTTGCCATAACCTTTTTCTTTTCATTGTGATATTATTGTATAAGTTTAGCTGATCGAAAAGCAGTTGCAAGTAAACAAACAGAGGAGAAGGGAAGCTCGGAATCAACAAATCGAGAACCGAAACCACCACCCGGCCACGAAGATAGTCGTTCACCGGATGAAATTGCTGTCGATAGTGCCGTTGAAGAAGGTTTGCGAGAACTTGTAAGTTTGCTTATCTAATATATGCATCGAAGGTATCATCTGCTATATATGTTGGCTAGGAGATGAAAAAGCAGATGGAGACGGATGTGTGGAGATTTCTAAGAACTTATTAAGATTCCGTCTATCATTGCGCTTCATAATCTGACTAACCGTTTTCATTTTTCCGTGCATTTTGTAGGAAAGACAACATATCGATCAAAATCTCGGTAGTTTAACACCAAAATCAGCGGAAGGAAATGACAGTCCGCAGATTCATGATGAACCTATGGAAATACGATTGCCACCGTCACCGACCGCAAAATGCTCCACGGAACTTGAGGTATAGAACTTATTTTTGGAATCTACACATAGATTGAATTCTAACCAGAAAAACATAACTCGTGTTACAGGCAAGGTTTCGAGGATTTTTCGAAAAAAAGGCACAGGGAGCTGATTTGAATGCATTAATACAAAAAAGGCGCGATTTCAAAAATCCGTCAATGTACGAGAAATTGATTGAAAAATTCGAAGTGGATGAACTGGGTTCAAATTTTGCACCATCGGTATTTGATCCACACGGTTTCACAAAAGATTGCTTCTATGATCAGATTTGTAGGTTCTATATTTTTCTCAAGTTACATGAATCGAATTAGTTTTCTTTTTTTTATAAGCAGACTGCTGTAGCGTAAGAAGAAATAAAAAAAAATGAATTAACCCTATAATGTAAAACTTTTCAGCAGTACTTCAAAAAGAAGCGATGGAGAAATACAATGCTACTGTTGAGAAGAAAACAGTAACCGTATCTAATAAAGGAACTGAAACTAAACGGAAATCACGTTTTGAAGGTGCTAAAAAGTGACTCGATTATTGTATAATTATTATTGGGTCCCATAATTCCATAACACTAGTTCCCGTTTTGTTTGCACAATTATCTGATCAAGTGATACTTATGAAAAATTGAGAACAGGAAATGTCTTCATATAAATATGTCTTCATATACATAATAAGTCTTCATATATATGTCTTCATATTCATCAAAATAGTATTAAGTTGCCTCCAAATGTAATTTTAGTAGTTTATCTCGTTTATCATTGAAGTAAACGATCTTTTTTTAAAATTCAAACTGGGATAGGACCGCCGAATCGTGAACTGGTCCATAAAATAAAAGGCATCTTAAAAAAACTGTTGGAATATTTCAAGGTTACCAGTAATAATTTAAGAAATAGTTATATAACAATTTTGCTAAAATCGCTTTATTTTCTACAACTCGTTGAGCTTTTTATGACTTGATATAAATAAAAATTTATCCCTTGTCCGCTGCTGTATGCACTAAATATATTGATCGTATGTGCCTTCCATTTGCCATAACAAGACCAACCACCCGGGATTCCAACTCGTCTTTCCATTGTTCCTGAAAATAAATAAGAAGTCCGGAATTTATGACCATAGGTATCAGGTTTCCAGGTGTCCCACAATTCACCTCGACATTCCGAAATAATCTTAAGATCCACAAGCAATCGATCAGCTTCCGAAATAATGTTAAGATCCACAAGCAATCGATCAGCTAAGTGCCAACACCGCTTTTATTTTAACAAATGCACATCAAACCATCCCCATATCATTCAAAAAACTCATGAAATACATTAACCATTCAGGATGAAAAATGAAATTCTCTTAAGTAAATCACCTTACAACCACTGAGAATTATATTTGGCGCATTATCAGTACACACAAATTTCCCTTCAATTATACGTCCGTCGGTTAAATCAAGTCGCAAAATCCTGCCAAGCCATCGACGTACTCCCAATTCTTGGTCTGGCATAACTTCTACAAAGAGTAATCACTATACAATAACAAAAAAGTTCCGAAAATGTTTGGAAGAAAACATGCTAGTGACCTGGAAACTGCTAATGACATTATGATAGCGCAAGGGAAATGATTAATGAAAAGTGATCATTCCTCAAGACATATCCACGGCAATAATCTGAGATGATTGCGAACCAAAAATCAAACATTAGTACATCTAAATTAAACCATTCGAAAGTAAACCCAAACATTTGTGAGCCTCAAATACCGATTCAAAAGATGTGATAATAACATAAAGTAGGTTAAAATTTGAAACTTATTCCATGTCTACAGTGGAAATGTTGCATACACTATTGACCTATGTTTTTCGACTATCGTATCTATAATTCACTTCTTTATTTAACCTTCACAATATAATATACATGCAAACAAACAATACACAATGCTTAAACTTTTTTTTTCTTTTTTTTTAGTTAAAGGCATTATCGGCCTCATGAAAAACGTCTACACGTAATCGTAAGCAAACAGTGACGACAGAATATTTATCGCTTGGTGATTTAAATGACCAATAAGCCGGTAATAAGTTTTAAAACATGCATCAAAATCAAAAAAGCAGTGTGGAAGTAAAGTGCTTAAAAATACAAGTTATGAGTGAAAAAAAAAAGGAGAGGAAGCTTTTACGCCTTTTTTTATATTTGAAAATTCATAAAGGATTCAGTAACAAATAATGCGCATCCCTAATTATCACCTATGGATAAATATAAATCGGCTTCCACCTTAAGTCACAGATTTACGTGAAAATGAAAAAAGAAAAAAAAGGAAAAAGAAATAGTGAAGTCTTCCCGATCGTAGTCAGAATCAGAATGCTATTATTTGTTAAAGCGAAGACTGGGTAATTAAATTTTCAAACAAAAAAACCATCCTCTGCGAAGCAAAAAAAAAAGAAACAACAAAGAAAATGAGCTGTCAATGGTGTACGCATTTTCGGAAATTATTCTAATGAGCAATGCTTAAACATTTTTAGGCAAACTCTCGAACACAGAGAACTGTTCCAGTCTTGAACGTTAACTTCTGCAAAAATAGCAAAATATCGACTGAAATCACAAAAAAAGAACAAGCACGAACATGATCGTTAATGAGAATTGATAAATTGCTAATAAGAGTAGAGAATTGATAGTGAAGATTAATATGAAAATACAAAACATCCGTAATTTGCGATAGAGTCAAAATGGATGGGATGAATTTTTGCGTTCATAATAAACTATTATTTTCAAACAAGCAATATATTTTAAACAATTAAGAGGTGATGTTGTTATAAAAGATTACTGAAATATAAAAACCAATTGTAAATCAAAGGCTTTGCAAAAGCATTGAGTATTGTAACGGAAGAAAAAGTGAGAGCATGGCATCGAAATTTCAATATCTCCTATTTGAAAATTTCGTGCAAATTAATGGCTAATTCGGGAATGACAACTGTGAAGACATATTGTACAACTCTAGAGTGAGAAGACAAACAGTACACGAACAGACAAACTGTAAATTCTTACATAATTCAAGATGGCAATAATTTACTAGTACATTAAAGCGTGAGTGATTGTAAGTGACAGGAGTTTTTGTATATAAAAGTACAATTTTAATTTTTGGCTAGAATAAAAATGATATAAAAGTAATTTACTCAAAAGTTAAAAATAAGAGCAATTGTTTTTAGCATAATAAATTCAATCAAATGATGACAAAAAAGCACAATTACAATGACATTTTGAAATCAATGACTTTTGGTCACAAGTGACGCCAAATAGGCAACGTGCTTATTGCTAAAAACCATTCGTCTTTGGATGCACATTCTCTTGTAGATAGCACTATAACTTTTTTCATTTCTAATCAATTCTAGTACGGCTGACGCAAAAACTGGTGATAATCTTTCGGTTTCTCCCTTCGATACTCTGAAATGAAATACTTTTTCCTTTTCTCTTCCGTTAATTTAGCGTTAATCTTAATTTAGCACTGGATTCGAGAGATCCTCGAAATGGCCTTTCTAAATCAGCAACTTAACAACAAAAGAATCGAACATTGCAAAAAAAAGTGGATTTCCATTTAAAAAAAGTCAACGAGGAAAATGTCGCATTAAAGAATTGATACACAACTGATATACAGTTAACTTCACGATTCTCCCCAGCTCTCCTCAAAAAACAGCCCAAAAACTGTCGTGACAATGTAGTACCAATCAATCTATATACCTCGCCAAATGATGCAACTTATCCGGAAATTCGACTCCTTCTAACGCCGCTGCAATGAATACCGAAACAGCCGCAATGATCGATGGTTTCAAACAGCATGTGTTATAGTCGTACGACGCTATTTCACTAATAGCTTTAGCTAACGTATGAACGCTAAGATCGTAATGTTCCGTAAGACGACGAATAAACTGAATGGCACGAGGATATCTCAGATCGAAGTTCAAGATATGTAACACCTGAAACAAAAACTAAGAAAGGTAATGAAAATCCTTCACGATAGAAATAGAAAGATGCCCATAAATTTAGAAAATTTTAAATCAATGCAATCCCTACCATCGCAAAAAGATAAGATTATATATTGAAATGAACATTTCGATGGCTTATGTTGCTGAAGAATGAAACAGCTTACAATAGGCTCTGCTCCTACTTTCTTAATATAAGTTTCAAAAAAATGATAGTACTAATAAGAGAATATGGATATGAACTATCAAGAAATCAAACATATGAAAAAAGTATTACGACAAAAGATTTCAAAGAGGTAAATATTTGATCATCCACAAAACGTACCAACCCCAAAAGATAGTTCATACTTTGCCAAAACAAAAAATCATCATAAAAACGCAAGCTCAATTAATCACGGCAGGTGAATTAAAGAGGATGACAAGGAATTAAAAAGTTCAAAGTTCTGTTAAAAAACGTCCGCATTTACTATGTAATCTTAACCAATCACTAAGCAACGCAGCAAACTGAAAAGCCAATCTTTCGCAAGTAGATTAACTGTTAAGAAAAAGAAAAAATCACTGATATAAAAACTATTTACCTTAATTTCCGCACGCAAAATTTCTTGTTTTGTATTACCACAAGAATTGAGATATTCAGATATTTCAGGTGGATAAATTTCTTCATATTTCGCTGCTACAACAGCACAGCCCAAAGAAATCAGTTGAATTTCTTTCTGAATGCATCGAAACTTTGAAAACTTAACAAAAAGAACGATAATAATAAAAATAAACGGTGAGTGAGTACGCAGTTTAATATTTCTCAAACTAACTAAAGATAATTAAATAAACTGGAAAATTTTCAAATAGTCCTCAACAACACAAATCCATATTTCTCTCCAAATTTCTTGGGACAATCTCATTTCTTTGATTTTAGATTGTCATAAGTTTTGTCTAAAATTTTTCCATCTCCACTACTATCTTCAGTTTCATTTTTCGATTTTAACGAACTAATCCCCACGAAACCTTTTCAAGTGTAAAACGTCGTGCCATCAAACAACGGTCGAAGAGGTTAACAGTTGTTAACTGCGTCTCTGGCAATAACTTGAAAGTAATTTGCATACGAGTAATCCAATCTATTGCAATCATTCGATTTCTTGGTGTAATCTGAAAATATACAAATAACTCGAAAAATGAGAAAAATTTATAAAATAGATGCATCAGTAATCGGCAGAGAAAAAGCATCATACATATCACGATTTATGAAATGTATCTCATCTACAGCTTTTATATACAACTAATCCGTCAACAAACCATATTTACCAAAAATAAATTCCATAGAACGTTTGGAAACGAAAACTATATATATATATATATATATATATATATATATATATATATATATATATATATATATATATATATATATATATATATATATATATA